AGTTCGAAGACCGGGAAGCATTGGAAATTGATTGCTCTGATCCACTGAAAAATGAAATCCTAGATGCCATGCGTCTCTGTCGAAGTTCGAGATTCTGCGGGCATAACAGAATTAGTGCGAAAATTCTGCAATGCCAAGGCGAACCCCTACTGAAATGAATCAACCTGGTTTCTTACAGCTTGCGGAGGAAGTCAGAAATTCCTGAGAACTGAAAGCGGGGCATAGTCATTGCCATATTCAAACGTGGGAATCATCCTGACTGCACGAACTACCGCAGGATCACGCTTTAGCATGTGCTGGAAAAGTTATTTGCGTGAATCCTGCTCCGAAGACGAACGCATTTGACGATAAGTGATATACTTTGATCAAATCAAACAGGGTTTTGAATCTAACTCTGGTGTACGGATAACATCGCCGTACTAAAGAAAATAAACAGATAGGAAGCTTTCAACTATCCTGGCATGTACCATTCCTCGACTTCCGAAAAGCTTTCGACTTGGTACCTCGTCATACACTGGGTCAATGTGGTGCATATGGTGCATACTGCGATACTACATCTCCGCAGGAGATCATCGGCCTGATGAAAGGACTGTACGAAAGTACTAGAGTAGCCATCAGAGGAAAAGAGTCGTTGTGAGACTGGCATAACATCAACAGTGGAGTACGCGAAGGAGAGGTGCTTTCGTCTCTATTATTCAACATGGTGGTGGATTGTGATGCGAAGGAGCGTCGTCTCCGACAACAGTTATGGTTACGGATTTACTCTCAGATGACAATTCAACCGAAAGTACCCAGCAGTATTCATAACAGATCTCGAGTACCGTGGCGAAAACCTATTGCTCAGCGACTCTGCTAATAATTTATTGACACTAACTTGACAAGTGCGCAAGATGGCCTTGAAGGTAAGCCTATGAGTTAACCTCATCAAAGCGAAGATCTGTGGGGACCTGACTCAACTAATGTACCAAAGATTCAAGAGAGTGAAACCATCATCTAGCAGGTCGAAAAATTCAAGTATCTCGGCTCT